CAGAAGGAAGACAGCCTGTAGTCCAGCAGGAGCTGGAAATGACCCAGATTTAAGATTTCTATCACTTTTTAAAGCAAAATACTTAATTTCACTTTCTGTAATAAACTGTACATAAAATACTAAGCAAGAATTGGTAGGCTAGCAAGGCAGGTTATACTGATACTTTTTATCAGAGAGAGAATGTTCTCCATCATTTGCAAGGGCTATGAGCAAAGGTGAAAATATGGGGAATCTGATAGAATTTTTAGAATTTTTAGTTTCTCCTAAAATAAAACTTCCTTCCTAGGCTTCATTTTTGGTTGTGGGGGAGGGGTTGCAGGTGGTAGTGATTGCACTGCTATATCTATAAATTTGCCCAATATTTCCAATCTCCAAGCTAATAGAAAATGACTCTTTTAATATTCTTATCCTCTAATGTATCTTCCTACTTTTTCCCAGCAGACATAACCCTAATCCATAAAATTGTCTGTATTATTTCTCTGCTTAAAAAAAAAAAATCATACACATGTGGATGCCTAAACAATATACTGCTCAACTTTGCTTGTTTTGAGGGTTGTAGAAAGTGGTAACCTATAATATATCGTTTTCTGGGGCTAGCTCTTTTTGTTCAACATTTTTGTGTCTGGGCCTCATCCATATGGTTCTCTTTGGTGAAGTTTTCATTTTTGCTTCTGTATTCTCTATGTAAATATGATACAGTGTATTTGTACATTTTCTTGCCACTGGACATTAAGGATTGTTTCCTTCTTTTTTTATTTTGGTTATTACAAAAAGTACTGAAATGAACATTCTTGTAACTCTCTTTGTTGTCCATCCAAACCAGTTTCTCTGAGGATGTGTATGGAAAAGTGGAATTGCTGGGGTTGTTAGGTATGTGAATATTCACCTTATTGGGAATGACATTGTTTTCCAAAATGATCATTCTAATATACACACCCATCAGCAATAAATACAAATTTGTGTTAATGCGTATCTTCTCTCACACTTGGAATTGTCAAACTTCTCATTTGTGTCAGTCAACGTGTTAAATATCTCACTGTAATCCTGACATACATTCTCCTGGTTACTAATGAGTCTGAACATATTTGTGAATGTTTATCACATGTATCTTTTTCTTTCAAATACTGGTTCAGGATTTTGTTTCATTTTTCTATTAGGTTATTTGTTCATCTTTTAACTGATTCAGTGTGCCTTTCATATTCATCTATTTCCAGTTTTGCAGTTGTTTTCTTCAAGTTTGAGGCTGTTTTCGATTTCTTGTGTTCTTTGATGAGTAGGTTTTAATTCTAATGTAATTAAATTTATTTATCTCTTTCTTATGGTCGGTTTTTACAAAATGTCTTATTTTAGATATTCTTCCCCATCCCAAGGTCAAAAAAAGTCTCTTCTATATTCTTCTGGTAGCAGTCTTAAAATTTTGCTTTTTCATATATGAGTACTTTTGAATATTAATTAGTTTTTACAGTGTATACCAAAAGCCATTGAAAAATAATCATATCCTCAAAATAGACCATATTCATATTTCTAATAACATACCACAAGGAAATAATTTAAAATATGGAAAAATTCATATTCATGATGACGGTCACCAGAAAGATATAATAGCAAACAAAACTAAGGAAACCAAACTACAGCTACTTAAATGAAACCTTAGATTTTTATTAAAAAATATATCTTCCTAATAATATAGAAAAAAATATGGGATATAATGTTTATTGAAAAGAGAGCTATAGTTAAATCCATACTTTACTTTTAACTATCTAATTATTTATATATGATAAAATTTAGAGAAGGTCACAGAAAGTGGTAATACTTGATGTGTTGGGATGTTAGGTTTATACGTGCAGTTTTATATATGCTTTTATTTCTTCTATTTCCCAGACTGTAATGTTTTTTTTTGTTTTGTTTTCTTTTGGTTTTTTTTACATCTTTATCGGAGTATAATTGCTTTACAATGGTGTGTTAGTTTCTGCTTTATAACAAAGTGAATCAGTCATACATATACATATGTTCCCATATCTCTTCCCTCTTGCATCTCCCTCCCTCCCACCTTCCCTATCCCACCCCTCTAGGTGGTCACAAAGCACCGAGCTGATCTCCCTGTGCTATGCGGCTGCTTCCCACTAGCTATCTATTTTACGTTTGGTAGTGTATATATGTCCATGCCACTCTCTCGCTTTGTCACAGCTTACCCTTCCCCCCCCATATCCTCAAGTCCATTCTCCAGTAGGTCTGTATCTTTATTCCTGTCTTATCCCTAGGTTCTTCATGACATTTTTTCCCCTAAATTCCATATATATGTGTTAGCATATGGTATTTGTCTTTCTCTTTCTGACTTACTTCACTCTGTATGACAGACTCTAGGTCCATCCACCTCATTACAAACAGCTCAATTTCGTTTCTTTTTATGGCTGAGTAATATTCCATTGTACATATGTGCCGCATCTTCTTTTTCCATTCATCTGATGATGGACACTTAGGTTGTTTCCATCTCTGGGCTATTGTAGATAGAGCTGCAATGAACATTTTAGTACATGACTCTTTCTGAATTCTGGTTTTCTCAGGGTATATGTATATATGTGTATATATATATATATATATATGTTGTATATATATATATATATATGTATATATGTATATATATATATGTACATATATATATATATACACATATGCCCTGCAGTGGGATTGCTGGATTGTATCGTAGTTCTATTTGTAGTTTTTTAAGGAACCTCCATACTGTTCTCCATAGTGGCTGAACCAATTCACATTCCCACCAGCAGTGCAAGAGTGTTCCCTTTTCTCCACACCCTCTCCAGCATTTATTGTTTCTAGATTTTTTGATGATGGCCATTCTGACTGGTGTGAGATGATATCTCATTGTAGTTTTGATTTGCATTTCTCTAATGATTAATGATGTTGAGCATTCTTTCATGTGTTTGTTGGCAGTCTGTATATCTTCTTTGGAGAAATGTCTATTTAGGTCTTCTGCCCATTTTTGGATTGGGTTGTTTATTTTTTTGTTATTGAGCTGCATGAGCTGCCTGTAAATTTTAGAGATTAATCCTTTGTCAGTTGATTCATTTGCAAATATTTTCTCCCATTCTGAGGGCTGTCTTTTGGTCTTGTTTATGGTTTCCTTTGCTGTGCAAAAGCTTTGAAGTTTCATTAGGTCCCATTTGTTTATTTTTGTTTTTGTTTCCATTTCTCTAGGAGGTGGGTCAAAAAGGATCTTGCTGTGATTTATGTCATAGAGTGTTCTGCCTGTGTTTTCCTCTAAGACTTTGATAGTTTCTGGCCTTACATTTAGGTCTTTAATTCATTTTGAGCTTATTTTTGTGTGTGGTGTTAGGGAGTGATCTAATCTCATACTTTTACATGTACCTGTCCAGTTTTCCCAGCACCACTTACTGAAGAGGCTGTCCTCTCTCCACTGTACATTCCTGCCTCCTTTATCAAAGATAAGGTGACCATATTTGCGTGGGTTTTTCTCTCAGCTTTCTATCCTGTTCCGTTGATCTATCTTTCTGTTTCTGTGCCAGTACCATACTATCTTGATTGCTGTAGCTCTGTAGTATAGTCTGAAGTCCGGGAGCCTGTTTCCTCCAGCTCCGTTTTTCGTTCTCAAGGTTGCTTTGGCTATTCGGGGTCTTTTGTGTTTCCATACAAATTGTGCAGTTTTTTGTTCTAGTTCTGTGAAAAATGCCAGTGGTAGTTTGATAGGGATTGCGTTGAATCTGTAGATTGCTTTGGGCAGTAGAGTCATTTTCACAATGTTGATTCTTCCAATCCAAGAACATGGTATATCTCTCTATCTATTTGTGTCATCTTTAATTTCTTTCATCAGTGTCTTATAATTTTTTGCATACAGATCTTTTGTCTCCTTAGGTAGGTTTATTCCTAGATATTTTATTCTTTTTGTTGCAGTGGTAAATGGGAGTGTTTTCTTGATTTCACTTTCAGATTTTTCCTCATTAATTTTTAGGAATGCAAGAGATTTCTGTGCATTAATTTTGTATCCTACTTTACCAGATTCATTGATTAGCTCTAGTAGTTTTCTGGTAGCATCTTTAGGATTCTCTATGTATAGTATCATGTCATCTGCAAACAGTGACACCTTACTTCTTCTTTTCCAACTTGGATTCTTTTTATTTCCTTTTCTTCTCTGACTGCTGTGACTAAAACTTTCAAAACTATGTTGAATAAGAGTGGTGAGAGCAGGCAACCTTGTCTTGTTCCTGATCTTAGTGGAAATGCTTTCAGTTTTTCACCATTGAGGACGATGTTGGCTGTGGGTTTGTCATATATGGCCTTTAATAGGTTGAGGAAAGTTCCCTCTATGCCCAGTTTCTGCAGGGTTTTTATCATAAATGGGTGTTGAATTTTGTCAGAAGCTTTCTCTGCATCTGTTGAGATGATCATATGGTTTTTCTCCTTCAATTTCTTAATATGGTATATCACGTTGATTGATTTGCATGTATTGAAGAATCACTGAATTCCTGGAATAAACCCCGCTTGATCATGGTGTATGATCCTTTTAATGTGCTGTTGGATTCTGTTTGCTAGTATTTTGTTGAGGATTTTTGCATCTATGTTCATCAGTGATATTGGCCTGTAGTTTTCTTTCTTTGTGACATCCTTGTCTGGTTTTGGTATCAAGGTGATGGTGGCCTCATAGAATGAGTTTGGGAGTGTTCCTCCCTCTGCTATATTTTGGAAGAGTTTGAGAAGGACCAGACTGTAATGTTGATGAATTATGTTTTATTTTAAAAAGTAAATCACTGAGTCTTGAATATATTCATGTAATAAAATGTTTCCTTAATCATTTGTAATTATAGACATATTAGATGCTCAAAATGACTAGTTGCATTTTCAGTGATTTACAAAGAAAAGGTAAAAACTATGTTTTATTTTTAGAAGTTTTAAAAATGGAACTGGCAAAATCGCACACTCACTGTTCTATCAAAATATTTCATTTGTGATATACATTTCTTTCACAGGAAGTTTGGGCATGTTGGCATGAGTTATTGTCATACTTGGAGAAGGCAAACAAGTGGCTAAATGAAGTAGAATTTAAACTTAAGGCCACTGAAAATATTCCTGGTGGAGCTGAGGAAATCTCTGAGGTGCTAGCTGTAAGTTGTGAATTAATATAATTGCGATAATTTATATGCATTATTGAAAGATGTCAAGAATCAAATAGAAAATAAATTCAAAGAACACCAGGCAGAGAGTATAGTTGCTATTCCTTCCCCAGCACCAGCACTTGGGTTGAAACCTTTGATTCCTCTCTGAACCTTCTAGTGTTAAGGTTTTAAAGAGAATTTAAATAACCTCTTAGAGAGGACATATGCCTTTTGCTATATCACTATGTTCTATGTTTACATTTATCTTTACCTGCTTAAATCTACTACAGACCTGCAAAGACAGTTTGAATGCACAGTTTTGCTCCATTGGAGTAGAGATAAACAGGATGATAATGTAAAACATTATTTCCAGTTTAAAAGCTACCTTCACTGAGTTGGAACATATTTTTTAATTATTTAAAATCATAAATTTATACCTTACAGAATGTTTCAAGGTATTAAATAGGCATGCTTTGATATTGGAAATGTATCTTTAAAATGTTCATACATTTTAGTACATAGAGAATTTTAGTACATTTTCAAGTTTTATTTTGGTGATCTTTAAAAAGTAAAATTTAAAGGAGTTTGCATGTATAAGCTTTGATTTATGTGAATTTCTGACAATCATTTATGTCCTATGCATTTTATTGTACTTTTGGATAATCCTTTATATGTAATGAATATGTAGTTTTAGCCTATGTATTGTGTGTAGAGCCACTTGTAGTGCAGCCCCTTTGTAAATCTGCTAAAATAAGGTACATAAATTAATCAAAATGTGAAGAAAATGTGAAATGTTTTTGACTGAATAGAATTGGAATCCTAGGACATTACAGCAGAAACCTGGGCATGATTATATCCAACTTCCTTACTTTTGCAAGAGAATTGTAAAACTTGAAGAGGTATCAAGGAACAATGAGAGAGGCCTCAGATAGACTATAATTATGTCCCTGTCCTATTCAGAGATGTTCAGTGACCAAACATTCGTTGTGAACTAACAGTGTGAAGCATCTTCCAAAAAAGATGAAACAAACTTGCAGAGTTATACCGCATGAGTAAAAGTGTCATGGCCAGAACAAAGGATGTGATCATGCACTTATCCTACTAAATGAACAGATTGAAGAACCTCATCCTTGTTTTTATTGTCTCCCAGTCCAAATATGGCTACTTTACCTGTAAGCCATGTATGTGTGAAAAAGTGTGAAGGCCAGAGGGATTTCTTCTAAAGTACTGTGACTTTTTTTCTAATGTGAGAAGGGAAACTCTGCTCTTGAATTTCTACCTATGTACATTGTCAGAATCATGTCACTTGGCCATCACTAGCTATGAGAGAAGTTGGGAAATTGAGTGTCTTACCTTCCAGGTTTTATAGTAGAGAGCCTCAGAGAAGAAGGTGGCTGTGAATCATTTTTTATGTACCCCATTCCATAGTTCTGCCACAAGCCCATGAAGATTGACATGGAGCAACATCATAGTTTTGAAATAACAATGATCTTTCATGTTTTGTTATCCCAATTAAATATTGCTTTAAGTTGCTTATAACTTAATTATATGTGAATCAGAAGATACTGAGCATTTTGAGTTAGTTCAATGGGTTTAGAAAAAGAAGTGAAATAGTAATTATTGCAAATGTATTTCAGTCACTTGAAAATTTGATGCAACATTCAGAGGATAACCCAAATCAGATTCGCATATTGGCACAGACCCTAACAGATGGTGGAGTCATGGATGAACTGATCAATGAGGAACTCGAGACGTTTAATTCTCGTTGGAGAGAACTACATGAAGAGGTATGACAAGAAGAGTGAAAAAATCTCTTTAAACTAATTTGCATGAAGTCTAGCAAATACCTTTGTGCCTCTCAGTCAAAATGAGGAATAATTTAAATATTAGCCCAGCTTCCAGGTTGTAGAAACTTTCAAGTTCTAGACATGGATGAAATATTTATATGTGTATCATATCATTTAATCCTACTAAAACTTTATAAAGTATGGGTTTTAATAGGAAACCTGAGACAGACCAAGTACAGTAACTTGCTCAGATCTTCACATGAGTAAATAGTTAATCTGGTGTTCAAAATCGGATCTTATCTGACCACAGTTCTTTTCCATATGCAAGATTAACTAATATGTGTAGGTATCGTCACCTCTCTCTCTCTCTCTCTTCAAACATGTACACACATGTTTGTTATGGTCATATATAATCTGTTAATAATACATGGTATTTTATTAGTGCCCAAGATATTGGATATTGTTTATTGTTCCCAAATAATATGAGTTCGTATTTATATATAACAGAGGGGTTTTCATATTTAAAAATTAATACATATGGTGTGAATTTTTCAAATCAAAATTGAAAAAAAAATAACCTATTTTTCTGAATCAAACAATATTTTGCATACACTCTCCTAAATCAAGAATGGATTATTTATCAAGAAGGAAAAAAAATTTCATAATGAGGTTTACTTTCGTATCTGATTGCTAAGTGCATCTATAACATGTGAGACACTGAAGGTTTGGTAATAAGTCAGAAAAAGTATCTGTACTTCACTACTTATAGTCATTGATTAGTTAAGCAAAAAATTATTCATTTCTTAGTGTGCTCCAGGACATGAAAACAAATAATATCCTTAGAAGATGCAAAATGTTGGGTTAAAAGTTACGACAGAGGATTAGAGAACATAGAAAAGGACACAGACTTGTGTGGGTCAGCAATGGAAGGTATTTGGGGTAGCTTTCCTAGAGAAGATTTGTTGTAAACTACATTTTTAAATTAGAGTAGGAGACAGCCAAATGGGCAAGAGTAAGAGGGTGATTCCAGGCAGGCAGCCACCAGCAGCTACAGAAAATTGGGAGTATTTGGTTTTGCTAAAACACAGAATGCAAATGGGAGTCTGGCTGAAGGTGAACCTGAGCAAATAAGCATAAGCATGAGTGAGATTGCTAAGGGAGATCTATGCTTCACAAAGAGCCTGCTCTAGAGCCATGCACTTAGGGAACCACTGAAGGGTTTAACTTATAAGGGGGAAGGAGAAGAGAGGTGCCACAATCAGATTACGTTACCTCTGTGGAGACTGGACAGTGGGCTGGGGGGTCTAAGAGACAGGGAGACTGCAGGCAGTGAGACCAAGTAGGAAGCGATACTTTTAGCTCAGTTGAAGGCAAGGCCATTGGTGATAGATACAGAGCAAATGCAAAATTCAGAAGAGTATCTGGGTTTCTGACTCAGGTGATTGAGTATCAGATATTTTTCAGAAACAACTTTGAGAAAGTAAGAAAAAACAAGTTTGGAGGTGAAAGATCACATGTCATTTTTTACCCCCATTGAGCCAGACATGTCTGTTTAAGTTTGATATTAATCAAAAGCAACCCGAGTGAAGACCTTAGGCTCTGGTAATTTATTTTGGAGATGGTACCAAGAAGGATAAGTGAGTGCATGGGGAGAATGGAGAATGAAAGGTTGGAAGTCTGATAAAGGATGCTTTTATGAGTGAGTTTCCATTGGGAGTTACTGAGCTCAGTCCCACTGGGAGCTTTAAAGAAATCAGGTAGAACACCAGTGTCATAGAGCTCACTTAGAATTGTCCCGCTGGGCTAATGGAAGCTGGAACATTTGTCCACCAATTTTCCTCCCTTTGTGTTTGAGGATTGCCCTTGGGTGCATAAAATCCCAGTACTTCTGGGCTGCCTAGAGCAGTAAAATTGAGAAATGTGGGAGCTTAAGGTGGGAATCTAGCAGTGCGTGCACATACTGGCCACCAAAGCTTCAAGTGAACTTACAGGTTCTGAGGCTAGGAGGTTATGTGGCTGGGCAGCAACAGGATCTGCTGCAGTACTTAGGGAGTATCCAGGTGGGGATATTCCCTAATCCAGTAAGAGAGAGTTACACAGCCCTAAAGTTAAAGAGAGTGATTCAGACTAGTTACACAGATGGGGAATTTGTCAGGCTACGTGCTAATTAAAACTGCAGAGTTCCTGAGATCATCCCAAATAAGCCCAAAGAAAAAGTATCAGACAGAATTTCAGAGTTATACCCCATATCAAGTTTTCGGCTGAGGAAACAGTGTCTACAGAGGAGATGAGAAGAAATGATCAGAGGTAAGAGGAGACGCAAGTTAAAACCAGGGTGCTTAGCAGGTAGCAGTTTATAAAGAGGAGTCATGAAAAACTGTTAAGTATGGGTGGAGAAACCCAGTAAGATGAAGACAGAATTGGGCAAAAAGATGTCACTTGTGGGCTTCCCTGGTGGCGCAGTGGTTGAGAGTCCGCCTGCCGATGCAGGGGATACGGATTCGTGCCCCGGTCCGGGAAGATCCCACATGCCGCGGAGCAGCTGGGCCCGTGAGCCATGGCCGCTGAGCCTGTGCGTCCGGAGTCTGTGCTCCGCAGCGGGAGAGGCCGCAGCGGTGAGAGGCCCGCATACCGCAAAAAAAAAAAAAAAGATGTCACTTGTGACCTTTCCTAGAGCAGTTTTGATGGAGTTTTCCTGAGGATAGAGAGACTCTGGTGACAGTGTGATACAGAAGATATTAGAGAAAAGGACGGGGAAGGCAAGTGTGCACGATCCTTGTGAGGAGCTTGGCTGTGAAGGCAAAGAAAGGTCCTAAGGAGGGATGGTAGCTATGATGGTATGCAGGGAACCTTCTGTTATTTACATGGGGGAGAAGTTGGATCATGTTTATACATTGGAAAGAAAGAAGTCCTGATTAGCAGAGACTCCAAACAATCCTTAATCCTGCACTACCTTTGTTTAGTAGTCTAATCATACTTTCTCCATATCAATATAAGGGACTATGGACTGGAAATAGGCAGTTCTAAACAGTCCTTTCGCCCTTGACCCTATCGCACTGTTACTGGATGTGGGCAGAAGTAGGTATTCCGAGGTGGCAACTAGGTCAAAGGTCATTTACATTTGGATTTTGATATAGAATTGGAATGTGCTTGTATTTGTATTTGAATTTTAGTGTCAGGTTAGAAATTAGAGTTCAATCAAAAAAAAAAAAGGCACACTGTAAAACTGATTTTGGCTAAGCTGTGAAGAGACCCAAATTTTAATCATTAACCATGTTCATTCAGTGTTTGTCTATTCTGTCCTTAGGAGTAGACCAGTCACTAATCCTGATCTTGGCATCAGCCTCATTTATGTAATGCTTTTGCAAACCTTTAGCAACACAAAAAACTACTTATGTCTTTACATTTCAAAGGTCTCTGTTGTGGAACCTGGTATTTCCCCCAAATAGATAATAATTCAACTCAACAACAAACCTTGATTGAACGCTTATTTTGCTGTATCCAAACTGAGTTTTAAAGCATTGAAATTTGAATCAGAAAATCTTGGGTTGGAATAGCCCTTGGTATTAATCAGGGTCAGACAGGTAACAGAAAACAGGTTACACAGTAACTTGAACAGGGAACCTTTAATACAAATAAGTAATTACTGGGAATTAATTTTTAAGAGGAAATAAAAGAGAACTCCAAAGAACTCCCTAGAACCAAGGGATAGTACCCAGGGAAGGAACTGACTTGGAAAGTGAGGGGCTCTACCCAAGGCTGGGATTCAAACCTTTTTGGAAAGAGTATGTCTCCAGAGCATGAGATGACAAAGAAGTTCGCTGGGTTGACCCAAACCAGAGCTAGTATGTAGTCAGTGGGCTCAAGCTTGTGTGAAGGGAATCTTGGAGTGGGATGATGGCAAAATTCATGGGGAGGTAACCTGTGGGGGCTGCTATTGAATTTTCTGGGAAGCTAGAGGGGATTGCCTGTTGGACTCACTGGGAAGCTAGCTACAGTAGGGGCCACTGAATTTAGGGAAACCAGCTTGGGCTCCACAAAGCTGCCCATGAATTTGGCACCCAGGTTGGACTTGGCACTGGAGCACCCACTGAACCTGTCAGAAGGCACCTGTAGAGGATGCTGCTAAAATTTATTTGGGGGGTGGGGTGGGGAACAGACGAGGTGAACTCCACCAGGCATCCCACAGGCCAACCCAGAGCCACGGGAGCAAGAAGTAAAAACACACTGAACAGAGAAAACTTTACCTCCCCCAGTGTCACTCCAGCACCCTTTATTGACAAAGCTTAGCATCCTGCCAGCTGGCAAAGAGAGAAATATTCCAGTATCACCAACATGAATGTTAAAAGACAATAAACACATCCATCTACAACCCATTGGCTCTGTACCCTTGGGAAATATTTTCAAGCTTCCATTTCCTCATCTGCGATGACAGATCGTATTTCATAAGATTCTCCTGAGCAATATATAAAATACTGCCTGCAAAGTGCTTTTATTTTTACTAGGTTGTATGCTGTAGTATCTACCCTCAAAGCAGTGTATGTGTGTGTGTGCGTGCATGCGTGTGTGCTGCCAGGGCAGGGATAGACAAACATATACATATATTCCAATGTGAAAAACAATGAAATGTACACACCTCCATTATTTAAATAAAATTCAGAAGACTGACGAAAGGACTTTTATCATTCCATAGGTCTTAAAATTGGAAGGAATTTGTCATTCTACTTCAGTAATCAATTAAACAGAACGCTATAGTAACAATAAGTAAACTTGAAACCACTATCAGCCCTGGCTATGCTTATATAAAGTATCTTGCCAATAATAATCTGAGAGTAATTTGGCAATGTAAATAAAGCATATTTGGTGCTTTAGAGCTTTGATGAAAACCACATCATGTTAGAGATAATATCCTTCTCAAATTCTGTTCTGCTAGTCTTTAGTATGCCAATGTGACTTTAAAAATAAGATGTTGAGTTAAAAGGATGAGTAGTAACAGGGTT